TCAGTTGGTAGAGCATGTGACTCTTGCTCTTGGGGTTGTGAATTTTAGCCCATGTTGGGTGTAGAGATTACTTAAAAATAAAATCTTTAAAAAAAAAAAAGCATTCTGAAGCAATCTTAAACTTTAGTATGATACAGTCACCTGGGAATTTTGTTAAAGTGCATATTTGATTCAGTAGGTCTGGGATGGGATAAGAAGTTCTGCATTTTCTAATCAGCAACTGGATGATGCCAATGGGGCTGGTCTATGGACCACACACTGAGTAGCAGGTTACTTTTCTGCCTTGGTAAGCAAAGTAGAATAAATATAACAAAATTGTTATTTTGAATAACATTGTACATGTTGATATAAACACACACTGAGATAGTTTAAATTTTTTAATATCATATCATAATATTGACTTGTTTTCCTGATACTACCTTCCTCAGAAAAGAAAAGTGGGAACTAATGGGGAGAAAAGTCCTAGTTATAGCAATATTTCTATCAGCATCTAGCATGAAATCTGGTACACTGTAACATTAATGTTATGTACAGGGGCCCCTGGGTGGCTCAGTCAGTTAGGCATCTGACTCCTGACTTTGGCTTAGGTCATCGTCTCAGGGTCCTGGGATCAAGCCCCACATTGGGTTCCACACTCAGCCGGGAGTCTGCTTGAGATCCTCCCCTTCTCCCTCTGTCCCTTCCCCTACTTGTGCACGTTCTTTCTCTCTCTCTTTCTCTCTCTCATAAATAAAGAAATCTTTATAAAGTAAAATGTTAGGTACATTAACTTATTTATCATAAACTTCATTATCAGAATTAATAATTCTGAAGGTGATACATGGACACATCCGTTAAGGAGGTGGTCAATAATATGAAAATATTACTAAATAAAAATGAAAAAACTCTCCTAAACATATTGTCAATCCAATAATACATTACAGAGTATGAATATAAGGGAAAGGATTAGATGTTCTAATAAATGTTAGGAGTTACCCCTGGCTCAGAAAAGGGAAGAGAAGAACAAAAAGAATAATATTCTGAAAGAAGGTACCAGTAAAGAAATCCATGCTAGGGAAGCTGATGCAGACAACTTGTCCCAAACATATGCTGGAATAGTCATAAAATGAATGGAGATGTGTCTTCCTCAGCTGTCTAATCAGTGGATCAGGGCGCTGTCCAGAGAAGGAAAGAAGGAAACACAGATCTTCCCCACTAATCCATCTACCTCCTACAAATTATGCTAAAAGGATTAAATTGGTATCAGTTATTTTCATAACCTCCTTACTTGGTGCATTAAATACCATGAAGGTATTTGTTTAGGAGTGATTAGCAGTTTGACTCATTAGTAGTAGTTTCTATCTTCAAGTCTTTCAGAATCCCATGACAACTTAAAGTGTTGAGGAACTAATTCAGAAAAATTTGTTATAATTACCTTGTAATGTTTCCTTTTTTAAAAAAATACATTAATGTGGTCTTGATGGGAGTTTTCACTGAAATGGCTTTGATGCTTTTGGTCTTCTAATACTTAGATAATGCCTATAAATATCAACTTGGCAGGGCCCAGGAAAATTATGCTAACTGATATTTATTGGCTGATTATCAACTACTTGTGGGTAGTTCAGTCAGCTCCATGTCACTGACTGAGATGTCCAAGATGAGGACATCTCCAGCCAACCACCCATCTTTCCTACTACTCTCATTCCTTTACCTTTTCTTGCCTTCCCCCCTTCTTTCTTGCCTCTATGGGCATTCTGCATTTTTTTCGGTTCTCAGAATATGTCATGTTCTTTCTTCCTTCTGTTCCTTTTTGGCACTTTTTTTTTTTTCTCCAGACGGAATACCCTTAGCCATGTTATGTTGATTCCTATTAAACTTCAGGTCTCAGGTCTTACATCAAAACTCAGAACACTCAACTCTTGTTAATTGCTCCTCCTATGAGCTCTCTTCCATACACTCTAACACAATACTGATCATACTTGTGTGATCTAACATACATGCACACACATATACACACTATTTGCCTACATAAATATATGTATACATACATATATACATTTACACACACACACACCTAAACATTGTGAAAAGACTGTGTCTCTCTTATGTGTTTGTTTTAGCTACAGTCTCACATTTTGCTTATTTTTTATAGAACTGGTAGTTTGGGGACCAAAACTTATAAATTCTTTTTTTGTACAAGTCTCTAGAATAGTTAAATAAGTAGTGACCATTAACAAGGAGTCACCTTTTAACTAATCTTCTTTTTCATATTCTTTTTATAAAATTCTGAAGTGGTGAGCTCTCTAGGATATCAACACCTAGAGCTGTTAACCTTTTTATATTTTGTAAGAATATGAGCCATAGCTTGAACATAGCACAGTAACAAAAAGAAAACAAAACAAAAATTTAAAAAGGTATTTATCTTGGCTCCAAGTCTGCCAATAAATCTTTTCTATTTCTGTTTTTAATGGTTTTTTGTTTTGCTCCCTGATGTATCCTAAACACTTGGCACATAACAGGCACTCGATATATATCCATTGGATGACTGAATGAACAAATATGTAAGTTAGATACATTGTACAACATACTGTTTCAAGTGAATGCTATTTAATTGTATCTTTGAAAATGTATTTTGAAAATGTTGCCTGTTTTCCTACAAGATAGTTACCTTATCTAAGTCACTTAATGATAAATTAACTTCCTTTCCTATTTTATCTGCTTGGTAGTACATTCTCGTTTTTAGACATTTCTACTAGTGGTCTGAAGAATGCAATACACATATCTATCTATCATCCATCTATCTATCTATCTATCTATCTATCTATCTATCATCTATCTTTTTTTTAAGTAATTTTTAAGTAATCTCTACACCCAACGTGGGACTTGAACTCACAACCCCGAGATCAGGAGTCGAATGCTCCACCAACTGAGACAGCCAGGCGCCCTCTTTTTTTTTTAATCTTATTTCATTTTATTATTATTATTTTAGTAGGTTCCATGCCCAACTTGGGGCTTGAGCTCATGGCCCTGAGATTAAGAGTTACATGTTTTACTGACTGAGCCAACCACATACCCCTCTATTTATTTAAATATATCCTGGAGAAAATGGTATTAGGACAGAATATATTGTGAATCTAAGCAATTTTATAAGCAGACCCTTCATTCAGCCCTTGGGGTTAAGAAGCCTTTAATTTATTCCCTAAGGCCCTGTGGATTTTAAAGAAGTAATTACCTTTGACATAGGTATTTTTGATCAATAAAGAGTAGAGACTCTGTAATATTATTTCCCACCTTCTATCATATATGACAATAATAGTTGTTTTAATACTAGTTTTCATTTCTTGAGGTAAGCTTACTATAATAGGCAATGTGCTACACAGTTCACATACTTTACCTTTTAAAAAAAAAGATTTTATTTATTTACTTGAGAGAGAAAGAGATAGCAAGAGAGTGCACGGCGGGGAGGGTGGGGTAGAGGGAGCGGGTGAAGCAGACTCCTCGCTGAGCAGGGAGCCTGATGACTCCGGGGGGGTGGGGGACTTTATCCAGGACCCTGGGATCATGATCTGAGCCGAAGGCAGATGCTTAACTGACTTTATCTTATATAGTTCTCATTACAACTCTACAGGGAGAAAAAATATCAAAGTCCAAACAGCTTTAATAGCTGGCATAGGGTCACACAGTCATAAGGAGCAGGGAAAGCTTCTATTCTAGATCTTTTCAAAGATTATTAAAATGAAAGTCTGAGTACAGACAAGGAGCAAGAATAAAAAAGAATTCTCAGAGAAATATTAAGATGTAGATAGAAATTTTGAGCTCAATGTTGAAAGTGAGTGGGGCCACCTCTGTCTTCTACAATTTGAGAGAGAGCTTGTAACAAGCAAGCCCACTCAAATTTCATGTAGATATCACCTATCTGATGTTAAAAATATGTATTTTCCAAGAGCAACAGAATTTTTTCCTTTAAATTAAAAAAACAACAAGATTTTAAATGATTATTTCCCATTGTATTGCTCCCTTCCTGTCACTGTTTTTGAGCTAGAACATGGAGTCCTTGGTGGGGAAAGGAAGTGCATGTTCATCAATCTCCATTAACAATCTTGAGTGTTTTTTGTCATCTAATAATTTCTGAGTTGATAGATGTATAACTACTCACATAGTTAGATGAGATATTCATCCACATTGGACATCTACTGAAGCTCCGACTGTACCCTTTATGGTCACGTTTTAGATAATGTCTCATTAATTAAGCAGATCTTTTAAAATTCTACTCTTTTTTTCATATAAACCTCTTGGAACTATGCTAACAAAAAAGCAAAATCCATTCTATAAGAATTTAGTATTTTGGGGGAAGAGTAGGGGATAATTGTTATGTTCTAAATTAGTTTATGATATAGGGGTACATAAGGGCAGTGTCAGCTGAAGTGTATTCATAATGACACCAAAACCCGTGGTTTTTCAGGTGTTCAAATTCACTGCAGAGATGAAAGCTGGAATGACCCAAGTACAGATAACCACTCTTTATTTCATCAGTTTGAGTCTGCTTATTGCCTACGTCCTACACATATATTTAGTCTTAAGATAATTTCACATACTTTTTTTTAAAGTAATCTCTACACCAAACGTGGGGCTTGAACTCACGACCCCAAGATCAAGAGTCACATGTTCTACCAACCACGGCAGCCAGCTGCCCCTTAAGATAATTTTAAACATATCTCTCTCTCCATCATCCTTTTTTTCTGTTTTATTTGTCTTCTTGTTTTCCCAAATGTGGTGCTACGGGAAACAATTTTACTTCATGCAGAGTGATAAAAGAGATTACTCTTATGAATATTGTACTCTTTTCACCCAACAAGTTAACAATCCGTTCCTCTTATCAATGAAGAAATGAACGTGTGTGTGAGTGTACTGAGAATTTCATGACCTCTCTCCCATGGACCAGCGTATGAAGGATGGCAAGATTCATCTCTTTTGTACAAGTCAAGCTCCCCCCCTCCCCCAGTAATCACTAGTTCACTTACTTTTGCAAGCATCTGGAGCAGAGAAGGGTCTCCGGAGGTCCCGGTAGAAGCCTGGCTTACATCGTTGGCAATGCTGACCTTCTGTGTTGTGCTGACAGTCATTACAGACACCACCACTGCGATTACCTGATGCCTCCCACACATTAATGTCAAAGTGACAGGCATCAGCATGCCCATTGCACTTGCAGGCTGAAGGGGGGAAGAGGCATGGGAGGGAAAACAAATCATTTAAAACAACAGGTTCTCTAATATTCAGGCAGTTAAAAATGGGGTAAGCTGATTGCTAATTTTTTTTTAATTCAAGTATAATTAACATACGGTGTTAGTTTTTAATTTGATTTTTAGCTTTTTATATAGTGCACATTTTCACAGTACAAGAATCAAAACAGCATATAAAAAGGCGGAGCCTTTTATTTAATTTAAAAAATTTAAAAAATTCAAATTTAAAAAAATTAAGTTTTAAGATATGCCTGAAAATCAGCAAAGTGTAGATCTGTCTTCTTAGGCAGAGGTAGGACTGTTTCCTTAGCAATTGGGGTTGACACTTATTTTGGAAAGACTATTTGAGTGGCTACCCATTTTTTTCCCTCTTTGACAGTAATACTTCACCATTTCCATTCCTGCTGCGTCCCAAGGACCAGTATGTCATCACTAAGAGTCCCCTGACTGTGCTTAGAAAACTCTACATTGTCAGACGTTATATGAAAATGAAAATTCATATTGCAGATACAGGCCTGAATTCATGCTCTCTAATGAGCCTCGAAGGAATCTTGTAGTGGACAGGGGTTAGTAGCTTGGCAGGTAGATTGATTTGTCTCTCATGAAGCACTCAGCTATTGATGTACTGGTGAGTACAAGACAGTCTCCTATAGAAGCCTAGGTTCTTTGTGTTTTTGTTTTTTGTTTTTTTGTAGAAGAGGTTTGCATTGTTTCTTTTGAAACAATTTCTCAAAGGCATTTATAAGATTATCAATAGCACCAAGGGACAAGTCTCTGTGTTCTATATGTATTTAGATACACAAGTTGGTGTCTGTGGAAAGAGCAGAATGGCACTCTAGGAATTTAGGAGAAATTCTTTAGATTCTCTTGATGAGTGATTTAGAATAAGAATCCAGACTTTTTCCTGGAGGTCAACTGTGTTTGTGCTATTGTTTTTTCATTGTTTCCTTGACATGTTATGATATTTTGACGAGATTCATAATCTGTAAAAAGCATAATATAAGATAATTTAAAATTTACGCTTAGAGGAAATCCTTTACATTTCCTAGAAACTAAAATAAATCAATTAGGATTCCAAATTATGTACGGGAGACTTCCCACAATGTTACTGACAGTGCTTGCCTTTAAATCCTTGTAAAACTGAAGTTTGTGAGTATAAACATTGTTATGGACATGTGTATTTCTCTGAACATTTTGAATTGCAAAGAAAAAAATGGTTTGTATTCCTGTATTTTTTACCCTCTTATCTAATCTCCAACCTCAAACCCGAAGTTAGCCCTAGTAATGCAGTCTCATTCTTGACTAACTGGCTTAATTTCAAATCTGATTTGTCATTTCAAGTACCATAAGTAAAAAGAAAGGCACTATGGTATTATGGAAAAAACATTTAATTTGGAGACTTGAAGAGCTGGGATCAAGTCCTATTATTTACTAACTTTGGCAAGTTACTTAATCTTACTGAGCCTCAATTTCCTGATCTCTAAAGTGGGATTAACACCACCTGCTTGCCTTACAGGGTTGTTTTGAGAACTGAATTTGAAATAGCTATTGTCATGATTATAATTCGATATCTCAGCTACAAGGGTAATTGTATGCCGTAATCGTCAGTTGCTCTTGTGTCTAGCCATGTTTTTATTATGTCAACTTCTCAAGAACAGTGCTTAGGTCCTGGTCCTGCAAAGTGTCCAAGTAAATGGGCAACACATTGTTGGCAAAATAGTCATATTGGCAACTTTGCAAGCAGTGATTGCTTCCAATGGTTGAGGTCATAGTGAGCAGTGATATGGGCTATATTTGTGTAGGTTACAGTGCCTGTCACCCACCACTTTATACTGTGTTTCTAGAGACAACACGGAGTCCACAGACAGTTGACTTTACAAAGAAGGCTTTTAGTCTTGTGGGCTTGGTACTCACTTCTGCACTCTTTAGGAGATCCTGTTTTGCCATCAGCTGCTTCCCAGGGGCGGTCGTTGTATAATGGTGCACAGTGTTGGCAGTGGGTACCTGCTGTGTTGTGCTTACACATACACTTTCCATGGACCTACAAACAAAAATAAGTAAGAGCTGTGAGGCACAAACAATGCTGGGAAGGAATATTCTTCCCACAATCTTATCTCATTGGTTGGCTGTATCCATGTGACATTCATTCACTTTCCTAAAGAAATCGTCAAGATGTGAGATCCTTTATTTAGTTTGTCCTGTGATTAATTCAGAGGATTACATAAAAGGGGCACCTGGATAGCTCAGTCAGTTAAGTGTCTGACTCTTGATCTCAGTTTGGGTCTTGATCTCAGGATTGTGAGTTTAAACCCTGAGTTGGGCTCCATGCCCAGTGTGGAGCCTACTTTTAAAAAAAAAAAGAAGTTTAGGGCGCCTGGGTGGCTCAGTTGGTTAAGCGACTGCCTTTGGCTCAGGTCATGATCCTGGAGTCCCGGGATCGAGTCCCACATCGGGCTTCCTGCTCAGCAGGGAGTCTGCTTCTTCCTCTGACCCTCTTCCCTCTCATGCTCTCTATCTCTCATTCTCTCTCTCTCAAATAAATAAATAAATAAATCTTTAAAAAAAAAAGAAGTTTACATAATATATTTTTCTTGACTGTCAGTTGTGTGACCCTAGTGAGTAATTCTGAGGTACTGGCTAGATATTTACTTAAATTTTTAACACCTTAAAAAATTTTAAATTCTTTATACAAAAGTACTACATTTTTACTGTAGAAAATTTGGAAATCAGTAAATATGATTATTTCATGTCATAATCAACATTTGAAGTTTATATTTCCAGTACTTTAAAAATACAATTATACACATACATACATACATATATATATTTTTTAAATATTTTATTTATTTATTTGACAGAGAGAGAGAGAGAGCACAAGCAGGGGGAGTGACAGAGAGAGAGGGAGAAACAGGCCCTCTGCTGAGCAGGGAGTCCCACATGGGGCTTGATCCCAGGAGCCTGGGATCATGACTTGGGCCAAAGACAGACACTTAACTGACTGAGTCACCCAGGTGCCCTGATATACAATTATATTTAAAACTTCTTTTTTCATGTAACAATATATTGATATCATCTTTCCATTTCATTAAATATTCTTGTATAGCATACTTTTTAATGGCTCCCTTGTATGTTGTACAATTTATTTGGCCAATCACCTGTTTTTGGTTATTTAGGTTTTTAAATATTTTTACATATTATACTTTAGTTCTATAACAAATATCCTTGTAACTATTTGTGTACATCTTTATTTAGAATGTGTTTTCCAGAAGTAAAACTGATCAAAAAAACATGTATTTTTAAGACTTTGAATATATTTTGTCATAAGGACCATAATGATTTTCTTTTAATCCCACAATTCAGAGTAGTCGAGTTTATTAAAATAGTGTTTCTCACAAGGAGGAATACGTCAGTAGAATTCTCTAGGATCTGAGAGTTTTATGTTGGATTTTAATATATTTTTTTGAATCTTACCAACAGTTTCTAAAAATTAAGATCTTGATCATCTTGAATATTCCCTAATAACTAAGGATTGCCATTAATTCCAGTACCAACATGCACTTATTGACACATGACGTCGTGACTGTACAAATGAAAGCTTTGTAAAGTAGCTCAGAATGGGGTTTCCAAATTTGGATCTATGAGATGTTTTTTTGTTTTTTCTTTGAGAAACAGCATAACAGGTAAATTAACATGAAAGTAATAGATAATATCAACTAGTCAACAGATAATTAATGTATATCTACCAGGATAGGTAGTATGTTAGGCAATGTTTGGTACACAAAGCATTACAAAACAATTTCTGTGTTTAAGAATGGTATAATGTAGCTGGATAAAAAAGATTTACATAGAAAAAATTTACAGATAAACAAGACAATAAATACGGAAGAAAAGAAAAGGATGTTGGAATTTAAAAGATGCAGAAATTACCAGAGATTGGCAGTTGTGGAGGGCTTTAGGAAGGGGGTTGGGTTTTAAGCTAGTTCTTAAAAACGGGCAGTGTATCTGACAAGCAGAAGGAAAGAGACTTCCCAGGAAGAGGAAACAAAATGAACCAAGGTATGGTGTTAGGAGGCTAGGGAGAATCTGTGAACAAAGCTTATTTTAATACAGCCAGAATATTTTGACTGCAATGATAAAGGAACTACTAGAAATGACATGAACTTGGAGTGGCCGGAATCAGAAGGAATCAATCCCTAGAGTTCAACAAATCTGGAAATAGCTACACCAGTACATTGATGTACTACTCCTTGACCTCATTTAACACCAGAGTAAGTTGTGTTTTCTTGCCCAGGAGCCCCTTTCTCTTTCAATTCTCTTAGCACAAGTCTTTGGTTCCACTGGTAGAGGCACTCTGGATTATGCATTATCCAAGTCTGATATGACTACTATAGACGTTATGCTCACAAAATATTCAAGTGCAGGAATTATATAGGGCCCAGAGGACTGCAGCCTACTTGTGAATGATCCACATGAGGCCTAAGTGTTATAATCTGGAAAGTTTCATAAATAATGATTTTGGTGGCCATCTTGCTAAATTTCATTTCTGCATATTGTAAGGTTTTTGTACTTAATGAAAATTAATTATAGCTGTCCCTTTAGTTCTTAGGGATTAATTAAAGTATAATTTTTTTTAAAGATAAGATCGGCTCCTTAGAGTACAATGACGTTGCAAAAATTTTTGTTAATTTTCCTTATAGAAACTGAGCTGGTGTTACAGATTCAACTTACTGACTTTGGTCTTGGAATACCCAAGTGTGAGTTGAGTTACACTTGAATACACTTGAATACCCAAGTGTTGAGTGTTTTCTTGGGTTTCTCTTTGTGACTATCTCTCCTAGGAGCTGTTTATATGTAAAGTCCCACAGAGTTGTAAGATACATCTCCATTCACACATGCAGGTGAGTTCTAAAGACAAATGTGCACTTAAATTTGGATATCTGCAGGAATTTAATTTTTACTGCTCTATAAGAGTGTGGTCTTTTGGGGTGCCTGTGTGGCTCAGTCAGTTGAGCTTCTACCTTTGGCTCAGGTCATGATCCCAGTATGCTGGGATCAAGCCCCGTGTTGGGCTCCCTGCTCAGAGGGGAGCCTGCTTCTCCCTCTCCTCCCCGCTTGTGCTCTCTCTTACTATCTCTGTCTCTCTCTCAAATAAATAAATAGAATCTTAAAAAAGAAAAAAGGAGAGTGGTCTTTTTATCCCAGCTCTTGGAAATCTGATTTTTCATATATTCTGGGAGAAATGCTCCAGTCTTACTGCTTTTATTAAATCTTTTAAACTCAACATTCCTTATCATGATGGAAAAATAGAAACTCTTTTTCAGATAACTTTGGCATGGGAAGATTCTCTAAAGGCTCTCAGTAAAAGCTGGATGCCGATTTCTAGCAAAATAGAGTCTTTGGAAAAAATGAATATGAAAAATCTCCCGAAGTTGAAGAATTTAGTAAAGTGAAGACACAGTTCTACCTGTGTGACACATTTCCACTGGCAGAAGTTGGTAGCATAATGAAAATTAGTGGGAAGAGTAGTTTTGTAATTGTCTAAATTCTATAACCTGTAAAAAAAAACAAAACCCACATACAGAACTCCTAGGATACAAAAATTTGATGGAATTAGAGTCAGAATTCCTAGAATAAGCCACCCCTAATTCACCACTGCTGTTATGTGGAGTACTATCTGAGGGGGGCATTTTAGAAAATGTTAAGTCTAAAGTAAATATGGTAAAGACCAAGGTCCATAAATGCTATTTGTATAAAACTTCTTAGTCCTCAAGGCTGTGTCTTAAAGAACACATAGGATTTTCCTTAGGGACAAAGACAAAAGAAGATAAGAAATCCAAAGGAATATTCTGGGAAAAATCCATAAATAAAGAGGGCATGTGTTGGGGAGGTGGGCTCTAAATAGATCGTGGAACACATTAAATATCAGCTTAGGATGCTGGAATTTACCCTGTAGGTACTGAAGATCTGCTGAAGATCTTTGAGTAAGGAAATGATTAAAAGGTATATTAAATACACTTTCTTTTCTTCTTTCTAAAAAAACCTTCTTTCTACCTCATTCCTATCTTGTCTCTTGTGTTCTTTCTTCTACTTCCTCTTTTACTATTTCTTTACCATATATATATATGTTATATATACACACACACACACACACACACACACACACACACACACACACACACCAGCTTATGGGTTTTTTTTTTTTTACCTCAGTTTATGGTTTCCAACAGCCAGTGGCACTCACATGTATTTTCTGATAATGCTCAAAAATTTAAAATGCTGTTAATTCTTATTTTATTGCCTTTTAGCATTCTTTCTCCTTTTAAACAACCTTTTATTGAGTATAAAGATAGATGTTGTGAAGTATTGTTCGTTTTCTTTAGAGGAACTAAACTATCATTATAGGTCAATTTATCAGGTTTGGTCTTGGAATGCCCAAGGCCTATAAGTAATTTCACCCAGCTCCTAGGTTAGCCCTGGCCCACAAATTCCAGGCCTTAGGAGGCCACAGACATCTAGGGAAACCTCATCAAACATTCACATGTATCACAAGAAAATGGGGACAGGTCAGTTCCCTCTGGAGTAAAGATTTCAGAGCATTCCCTTGCTCCCACATGCTGAGAATTGGGATGAACCTCCCAGGGTCTGAAAAATGCCAGTCCAGCAAATTTTTCTGCACACAGAAAAATTCAAGGAGCTGTCATTTTGAGAATTACCAAAAATAGCTGTAAATCATTATCTAGACCATCTGAAACAAGAAGTCCTTCCTCAGCGATACAACTGTTACTGTTCAAGCTTGAAAGATCACCCACTATTTGATGCTCGTGAAAAATGTGCAAGTAAAACTAGGTCTTTATTGAAAAAAAAAACCAACAGAAAAAGGAAACTTTAGTAACAAGTTAAACATAGCTCTAGTTTGGTACACAAACATGAATTAGATAAAGGGCAGGAAAATGGGATTAAGTACCTAAGGTGTAGCTGAAGAAGAGTGGTGTCTGGTTGTCTAATTGGAAAAGGAAAAATTGACTTTAACAACAAGTTTAT